ATTTGTTTTGAGCCCGGGTCTCTCTGTGGATCCCTGGCTGTCCTAGAACTCACATAGGTCCTCCCTCTTCAGCCTGAAGTGCTGGGATTAAAGGTGTGGGCCACCAAGCCTGGACTCTGTTGCTCTTGTCCAGGGCAGGCCTTTCCTTCCTTGGGTCTAGCATTCTTTTTTATTATTGTTATCATCATTATTATTACATTTATTTATTTTGTGTGCAAATGCCATGCCCACAAATGAGCTCTCAAAAGTCGGCTGCCTCCTTCTACCATGTGGGGCTCAGGGATTGACTCAGGCCATCCGTCAGGCTCGGCGGCAAGAGCCTTTATCCACCGAGTTCGCTCCCAGGCCCAGATCCCCATGTTCTTGTTCCCCGCCCCACACCAGGGAGTGAACCCAGGGTACTGTACATGCTAGGCGAGTGCTGTTGCTGAGCCACACCCCAGCTCTTATTTATCTGTATTTGGAAACAAGGTCCTGCTACCTGCAGCCCAGACTGATCTCTAACTTTCAATCCTGCTCCCTCTGGCCCCCAGTAATGGGAATCCCAGCATGCACCACCACCACCACCACCACGCCAGCAGTACATTCTCATCCTGATGACAGCTGGGGTCCGCCCACTTCTGCCTTCTGGTGGCTCTAAACCTCAGAAGCCCCCAGAAGCGTGAAGTGGGTGGCCCTGGTGGCTAGAAAGCAAACCTCCCCCGGGAAGGCTGGTCCCCAGGAAGCAACCTGAGCTTGTGTAAGAGTTTACCATGCTCCCTCCTGTGTGGCTTACAGGGTGAGTCACTCAGCACAGAAAGTCACAGCTGGGGACACCTAGGACCATTCACAGTAACCCCACCAAAGGGCGAGGGATCAGAGGCCTGGAGAGAAAGGACCTGGCCTTCGGTCACTCCACAACTCAAGGCAGGGCTGGCACTGGGACAGGTACCTGATGACCAATCCCAGAGCCCAGTCTGGTCACCAAGGAACCCAAGGGTCCGTTTCATGATTGGCCTTTGGTTATAGACACCCGAGGAAGTATTTCTTCGAGGGAGGACATTGGAGGACAACCTCTCTTTGAACACATCCCCTGGCTGGCTCTTGAAAGGTCCTGAAGACGAGGGGACCCTTGCTGGGCCTGTCACCTGCTTGGTGACTCCCTTCCTGGCCCCCTGGCCTGAGCGGTGCAGGGTAGGGAAGGGCCGAGGCCCTCAGAGGTTTGGTACAATGTCAGGCAGAAGGCCCAGGGCCCCTCCCACACTGACACGGGCTGGGGGCCGGTGTGTCCGTCTGTGTGCGTGAGCCCGCACACATCTGAGGCACTGGAAGAAAGCCCAGAGCTATGGAAGGGGTCTGAGATCAGATAGGAGAAAATGAGCTGCTCAACGGCCCTTCTCCAGGAGCAGGTGGTGAGCGATGCTCGCAGCTCCTCCAGACCCGTAACCCGAAGCAGGCTCAGGCTCCGAGAGCCGCAATTAGGCCAAGGGGTCTGAACGCAGCGAACACCAGAGGCAGGCTTCAGGGGCCTGAGAGGCCTCAGCTAAGGCTCACCTCGGACCCTCTGAAGTCATTTCATTAAAGCCTCAAAGGGTCCAAGAGCCAAGAGGCCGCAGGACAGGGATCCAGGGGGCCGAGCCAGGGAGACCCTAGCGATTTGTGTCAAGGGTCCTGAAAGGGGAAGACAGAAGCCGCCTGGTGGGGCATGGAGGGAAGGTTGGGGGAGTCTGCGGGGCATTTGGCTGTAGGGGCTGAGTCTTGGCTCTACAGGACCCAAACCAAGCCATTTCCGGTCTCGGGGCTACAGTCCCTGGAGTGTAGGCTGCGGGTTTGTGGCCGTGCTCTGGAGGGCGTGGCTCTGTTCGCATGCGTGACCTCTGGAATGGTGAACACAGAGTGGGCGGCAGCTCCACCCGCCACCCCTCACTTAACCGGCACTGAAGGAATGTGGTAAACGTTCCCTTCTGGGTTCAGTTCCTGGTCTGTGAAGGACACGCCCGTGGACCTAATTGGGCTTCACTTGTTGGCTTGACGTGTGTCTTCTCTCCCATTCTCCAGTGGGGCCATCCTGGTTTGTCCAGAAAGAATGCTGCCAGGGCAAGTCCGCAGTACGCCAGGCCTGAGCAGCCCTCCAAGCCCGAACCTGTCCTGAATCTTCCACCAGCCTCCCTGGGGTCGCCCTTATTGGGGTGCTGTGGGGTGGGGGGATAACAGCACAGAAGGCCCAGAGTGGGTGGGTGGGGGAAGATGTAGGAGACTGGAGGGGGCCTCACTGACCCTGCAGCCAGGGGTCTTGAAGTGACTGGGGAGGGGCCAGGACAACAGGAGCCAGTCATGATTAAAACGGCCAGTTCAGGGGCAGGCATGTCAGCCATCTCCCACACCACCATCCCCAGCATGGGCTAAGGGCCAGTGAGGGGACAGAATGGAACTCACTTCTAGAAACAGGACGGCAGCATCATTTCATCACCATCTGTGATGCCACAGCCCTGAACACAGTACACAGCTGTGTGGATCTTAGAGAACAATGTGGCCAGGATTTCTTTCTTTCTTTCTTTCTTTCTTTCTTTCTTTCTTTCTTTCTTTCTTTCTTTCTTTCTTTCTTTCTTTCTTTCTTTATTTCTTTATTTATTTATTTATTTATTTTGAGACAGGGTTTCTCTGTGTAGCCCTGGCTGTCCTGGAACTCTCTGAGACTGGCCTCGAACTCAGAGATTCGCCTGCTTCTGCCTCCTGAGTGCTGGGATTAAAGGCATGTGCCACCACCTCCCCGATTTTAGTATTAATCTCAATGGGTCAGTTTGTCTGGTTTGAAACAGGGTCTCACTATGTAGTCCTGGCTGGTCTGGAACTGGTAGAGATCCCCCTGCCTTGGCCTTTTGAGTGCTGGGATTAAAGGCGTGTGCAACCACCGCCTGGCCTTTTTCAGTTTTTCGAGACGGGTTTCTTTGACTGTCCCGGAACTAGCTCTATTTTGTTGTTATTGGTTTTTTTTTTTTTTTTTTTTTTTCTTATGGTTGGAAGTGAAAGTTCTGTATCTGTCTGTGGGCTGCTTTTGTTGATGTTTTGTTTGGGGGACAAGAGCTCATGTAGCCCAGGCTAGCCTCAAACTCATTATATAGCTAAAGATGACCTTGAACTTCTCATCCTTCTTCCTCTGCTTTGATCACAGGAAGGCTCAGGCAGTCCTGGTTTGTTTGTTGGTTTTTTGTGGTGCTGGGGGCTGAGTCCAGGGCCTCATGTAAGCACTTTGCCAACTGAACAGCGGCTGCAGCCTCAGAGGTCACTTTTAAACAGAAAGTGAGAGATCCGAAAGGCCCGGTCATTTGCTTGTTGGTTATGATTTTATGAGACGGACTCTGACACAGCCCGGGGTTGCCTTTACCTGCTGCCTACCGAGGAGGACCTGGTTCCAGTGGAGTTAAGGGACCTCCACATCCAGCTTTGTTTGTTTGCGTTGTGCTGGGACATGAGCCCAGGGTCAGTTATTTCTTTTTAATTTTTGTTTGCTTTGTTTTCTGGGCCCTTTGAGCCAAGGTCCCCTGTAGCCCAGGCTATCCTTGAACTGCTGATCTTCCTGCCTCCAGAAAGTGCTGGGATTACAGGCCTGAGCCACCACATGGGGCATTTTATTTTTACTTTTAATAAAGTCCTAGAAGTTTGAAGTCACGCATGAGACTTGCATTTCCTTTTTTTTTTTTGGTTTTTCAAAAAGACAGGGTTTGTCTGTGTAGTTTTGTGCCTTTCCTGGAACTCACTCTGTAGACCAGGCTGGCCTCGGCACTTCCTTTTGACTGAACAGCTGCAAGGAGTCCTGCACTGTCCGGGCACGGAACGGAGTCATCCATCCAGCGGTTCTTTTTTACATCCACTCATTTGTCTTGTGTGGGGGAGAGGCGGCACACACCACGACCCGGGTGTGGAGGCCAGAGGGTTGCTTGTAGGAATTGGTTCTCTCCTTTCACTACGTGGGTTCTGGGGAATCGAACTTAAGCTGAAGTCGTCAGGTTTGGCAGCAAGCGCCTTTGCCTACTGAGCCATCCTGCCGGCACTCCTGAGTCGGTCTTTGGGTTCTTTTACTCATCGAAGAGCAAAATCCCAACTGTGGCCTTTAAGCTATACGTCTGGGGCCTGGAGAGATGGCTCAGTGCTCTGCTAGACTCAGGTTGACTCCTAGCATCCACACGGCCGCTCACAAGTGCCTGCAATTCCACCTCTAGGGGTTCTCATACCCTCTTCTGACCTCTGGGGTGCAAAACACCCATACGGATAAAAATACATGCATATATATGTACATACACACACATATATGTGTATATACAGATACACACATATATGATACATACATACATACATACATAAGTGTTTGTTTTACTGGGCAAAATTGTAATTCTAGCATTTAGGAGGCAGAGGCAGGAAAATCACTCAAGATTTAAATAGCAAGTTTCTGGACAGTAGGGGCTAGCAAGATCCATCTTGGAACAGAAAAGATGCGAGTTTTTGGTTTCCTGTACTTCATACACACAGACAAATCTGTCTCAAATGCCTTTCTCCCAAGTGTCACTACTGTGTATCCAAATGAGGAAGTTCCCGTGCTGCTTCTTCCAGGAAGCCCTTCTTGACTACCCACTGTAAACACGCTGGCTGTCTCTGGCTGGCTGACGCTCTAACAGGTGGTATCTCCTACAGTGGGCACAGAAAGCCGCTGTGCCAACTACATCATGACTGCATTCAGAGCCTGGCAGGAAGCCAACGGCCATCAGTAAAAAATAACTCCTGCTGTGCATGGAGTGGTGCCCACCCCTGGGTGCCCGCCTCTCCCTAATCCCAGGCTTCTCTCCCTAATCCCAGGCTCCTCTCCCTAATCCCAGGCTTCCTGCTCTAAATCCCAGCCCCAGCAGCCTCCCTGGGCTGGCATCAGGAAGGATGTAGGCAGACAGGGTGAGGCTGATGTCTGTGATGGCCCAGGTAACCACCCAGAGTGGACCCGGAGCTCAGGCCTGGGCACTGAGCAAACTCACCAGGGGAAGGAAGGTCAGCAGGGGCCGGACTCTGGGCCGGGCTTTCAGCGTGGCTGTTCCGGATTCGCTCACAGTGTCGAATCTACTGTCTCCATAATAGATGCCATCTAAATAAAGGACAGAGAGGGACAGTGAGCGGGGGATCGGGGAAGGTGACTTTGCCACCTGCAGATCCCGGGAGGGGGGGGGGACTGGACCTGCAGATCCCAGGGGGGAGGGGGGACTGGACCTGCAGATCCCAGGGGGGAACCGGACCTGCAGATCCCAGGGGGGAACCGGACCTGCAGATCCCAGGGGGGAATCGGACCTGCAGATCCCAGGGGGAACCAGACCTGCAGATCCGGGGGCGGGGGGGGGGGGGACCCAACCCTGGGGGTTCCGGGTTCAGCTCAGCAACACCCCTCTGATACACAGAGATCCCTGTGGAAGGGACTTGGGGTGTGTTCGGCCCACGGCGGCAGCCACCACTCTCCCGACACCTCCCACACCCTTCTAACCCTCCACATTCACCCAGCGCCTGCCCGAGAGCTAGGCCGAGGCCTGAGCTTATCTCTCACACAAGAAAACAAGCCCTCTTCTCTCAAGTGTTTGCATTTCTAATCCGGAACATGCAGATCAGAGGACCCTACCTGCTGTCCCCTGAGGCCAGCACCCCCCTCCTCTACCCCTCTAGGTCAAGTGCTCCCCGGCTCAAACCACCACCCTGGTCTTGCTTCAAGGGTTAAAAACAAACAAATAAACCTGCTCTGCCATTGCCTGTACATGTTGTTTAACCTCCCCGGGCCTCAGTTTTCCCATCTGTACAATGGAAGTAATGGTGCCAACTTTATATAACAGCTCTGAGGTATACATGTGGCCAGTCACAGCAGAGGGACTGAACAAAGGAGGTTCCCTCCCCCAAGGGAAGATGACACACGCTGGACCCTCCTGTTCCTCCAGACCCTGCCCGGGGCTGTGTCTACAGCCATGGACCTATGAAGAGCAATGTCCCTGTTTTCAACCAGTCTCCCTCATGACCTTTGAAATCATTGATAAGAATTCACCATTTCCTCCCAGACCCACACGTCACATCTACAGGCCTCCTGCTTTATGGGTCATAAGCACAGAAGGCCATCGTCCCATTTAGCGGGCGGGAGGAAATGAGGGATCCTCTCCTCTCCATCCAGAGAGGAAAGAGGTCAGAATCCCACCTGCATAAAGCCTGCTGTAATGGCGCACACCTCTAATCCCAGCACTCAGGAGGCAGAGGCAGGCGGAGTCCCAGGCCAGCCAAGTTTACAGAGATACCCTGTCCAAAATAAATAAACCTAATTAACCAGAACCCTGTTGCCTGTTACATGGAAACAACAGGGATTGCTTTTCTCCTCACGCATTTTAGGAGGGAATTTCAAGAAAACCCAATGATTTATTCAAAAGAGATCGAGTTAGGCTGGTGGGGCGGCTCACTGGTCAAGTGCACTGCTTCCCAAGCCTGTCGACCTGAGTTCAATCCCCAGGACCCACACGATGGAGAGAAAGAACCAACTCTTGCAAACTCTCCTCTAATCTCCATGCACATGACCTGACGCACGCACGCATGCATGCATGCATGCATGCATGACGCACGCACGCATGCAAGCAAGAAAAAGAAAGAGAGAGAGAGACTCCTTATATAGCCCTGACCTGGGACTCACAGAGACCCACCTGCTTCGCCTCCTGAGTGCTGGGATTAAAGGCGTGCGCCACCATGCCCAGCAAAAATAATCCAAAAGAAAACAAGGGCAAAGCTAATTGGAAAGGGGCAGTGGCTGGACTGGCCGGCCTGTTCCAGCCCTCTCCAGGGCATAAGGCCCAGTCCCTGCTAAGTGAGGGACAGACAGCATCAGCGGAGGACTGTACAGCCACCATAAGCCAGGTCTTTCAAGAGCTCAAGGTCAAACTGTTTCCCAGACTCAAGGTCAAGGCCAGAACCCAACAGAACACCAGGAGCCCAGCCTTGTGGAGTTTCCTCTTGGAGTAGCTGAACTCTGCGGATCAGAGTGGAACACTGGAGTGGGCCTTCCTGAAAAGCAGCCCCCTCTTCGGACCTGGCGACAGGAGACAAGGAGAGAGGAGAGGGAAGGAAGGGTGAAGGAGGCTGACACCCCGTGACAGGCTCAGTCAGAAAGCCGGGTCTCTCTTCTTGGCTGTCTGCCTGCGGGAAGGGGCTGTGCGCCCAGAGGTTCTGGGAGTGCCGGGGCTGGGGAGGCAGGAGGGCCAGAAAGGGCAAGGATCTGCAGCAGAGCGAGAAGCTTCCAGGGGAAAGGGAGAGGGCCTTCAGGAGCGTCCTGGGAGCCGGCCCGAGAGTCTCGTGAGCAAGGTGTGCGTCTTAACTGCGCCACAGACAAACCCAGGGCTGGGAAGTTAGGCCAGGAGGTGAAGGCACTCGCTGAGAAGCC